CACCTTCACTTCTTTTTTGTGTGTGTTTGCGCTATATATATATATTATAACTCTTTTTTGCAAATTATTTACAAGATATTTACTCAGTTAATTAATTATCTGGTGTGGTGATTTTGTATGCATGTGCAGTAACTCAGCATCAGAAACCAACGTACACAGATATATATATATATATGGGTTCAGGGTTTTGGTTCAACTCTATAACATGCCTAAATATATTTAAGGGAAATAAACATAGCCAAATTCAGGTTCTCTCTCTCTCTCTCTCTCTCTCTCTCTCTCTCTCTCTCTCTCTCTCTCTCTCTCTCTCTCTCTCTCTCTCTCTCTCATGTTGTACTGTTGATACAGAATTCTGGGAATAAGTCAAATGGATCAAAGTGTAAGTACTTAAAGAATTCCAAATTAACTCAAGACTTTGCTGCTACAAAAATCCAGTCTGCTTATAGGGCATACAAGGTAACAAGTAACAACAATTATTATTATTATTATTATTATTATTATTATTATTATTATTATTATTATTATTATTATTATTATTATTATTATTATTATTATTATTATTAAATTATTATTATTATTAGGGCAAATTTCGGCCACCCTTGAAGTATGGCTAAATTACGAAAAAAACCCTCTTGTTTGGATAGTTACAGCCACCACCCTCCTTTTAAATATTTTTACATAAAATTCATGTAATTCGGTTATTTACCAAACCAAATTGTATATAATCAGTTCACTAAACGGTATGAAACGTTGGCGTACCGAAATTTCGGTTCGATTTTACGGAATTAACATCCCTAAATTTACCTCTAGAGGGGTTTTTTCGTAAGATAATATATAATTGAGGGGGTGACTGTAATTACCCAAACATGAGGAGGATTTTCGTAATTTGACCATAACTTAGGGGTGGCCGTAATTTGCGCTAATATCAATGATTTGAGTTTGTGCAGGCAAGAAAGACTTTAAGGCGTCTAAAGGGAATAGTGAGATTTCGAGAAGAGGGGCATTATAGTCATTGTGTCGAAAAACAGACAATCTCAGCTCTAAATCATATCCATTTGTGGAGTAAGATACAAGCCGAGATTAGGGCTCGATGGCTAGCCATGGTTATCGAATCCCGATCGACTCAGAAAAAACTCGATAACCAGTTCAAACTTGACGCTAAGCTCCATCAACTAGAGGTAGAATGGAACGGTGGCTCCGAAAACATGGAAGAAATTCTTAACAAAATACAATGCAGAGAAACAGCAGCCGCTAAACGAGAAAGAACGATGGCTTACGCTTTCTCCCACCAGGTATACAGTTAAATCTCTATAAATTAATACAGTTGGGATCAGCCAAATTCTACTAATTTAACATAAATATTAATTTTACGATATATTTTTTAACACGTTATCCTTAAGTTGGGACCGAGGAAACATATTATTTAAACGATATTATTACTTTATCGAGGTTCTATTGTATATATAATATATATCTCGTCCGGTCAACCAAATTATTCGATTTTTTTCTTAAATATAATATTTCGTTTATTTCTTTTTTTTTAAGTGGAGAGCGAATTCGAGTCAGTATTTTGGACAATGTTACTATGATTTGAGCAAAGAGAGCTGGGGATGGAGCTGGAAAGAACGATGGGTTGCCGTTCGCCCGTGGGAGAATCGGTGCCAAACGAGGCATTCCCATTTCAAGAAAAATCGAAACTAACGAAAACCGGGTTTTTTTTTTGCCGAAATAAAATTATTTAATGTGGTTTGTTAAACTTGTGATGGTGATGGAAGCTTCTTTTTGCAATAAGTTGTTTGGATTATTACATTTGTTACTATATTTGTGTCCCTAATGTTTTTTTTTATTTTAAAGATGATTGTTTTGCTTTCTGTCATTTGTTGGTTTTATTTAATTTCTGCCTGCCAAACTGTTCATGCATTTATTTTTAAATTTATTTATTTTTTTATTTTACTACCTTACAACATCTAACAAACAAAGATTCTGACATTCCCTCCTCAATCTGGTGTCCTACCAAAAAAAAAAAACAATTGTCCTAAATTTCAATATATTATTTAGGATAAATTTCGGTCAACCCTTGAAGTAGGATCAAATTACGAAAAAAAACTTCATGTTTGGGTAATTACAATTACCACCTCAAACTATGAATCTTCTTACATGGCCACCACTGCGGTGTCAAATTTAGTAGAATCTTGTAGGTTATGCAGAATATTCTCTAGTTTGTACCCGTTTTACCCCTTTCGAGCTCCCCATTTTGAAACAAAATGATCATAACACGCGTCTCTTCGCTCGTAAATATCACATTGCGATGCATGGGAAACTACATTTTCGCACAAAACGAGTACTAACCAGAGAACATAAGATTCTGTTGAATTTGACACGACAATGGTGGACATGTAAAAGATTCATAACACAAACAAACGGAGTTTTTTTTCTTCGTAATTTGTCCTATTATTTAATACAAACAGTATTATATTACAAAATATAATCTTACACTTCCAGATTTTTCCAAAAATCCCAGCTATTTATCTATTCTGCTTTTTTTTTTGTTTCTTTTAAAAACAGTACTAATCAACAATAAAGAAGCACCAACAACCGTCAAGCAATTGTCACCATCTCAATATAAGCCAAATGTTTTATTTTTATTTTTAATTAATTAATTTAAATTTAATTTGTTTATTTATTCTTTTTTAAAAGAAGACTTATTTCCAGCTAGATATGTATAGATTTTTAAAGAAGCACAGACATTTTGCAGTGTAGGGGACCAAGAATTGATTATGATGATAATGGCCAAGTACCCTCAAATTTGGTTTTATTCAAAGGGTTGTTTCTTTTTCTATAAATTAGAGGGTTTTAATTTATTAATTATTATTATTTATTATTATGACATTTAATTCAAATTAACATAATGTAGGTTCTTGATTAAGCCTCTCCTATAAACTTTTTGGGCAAAATGCATTTCTCTTAGAGTGTGACAATTCAAAAGCTATGCAATAATATGCATAGAATAATTGAAACTTATATACCATATGAACTAATAGCCAAGAAAGTTTGGTTTCAAATAGTAATATTGCACAACATTAGGATGAATTTGGTTTTGTAGCATCATTTAATTACCTAAACAAGCTCGCGGAATTTATTATTTTTTATTCGAAATCGGATTTCAAAAATCAACTGTTTAGAGGGTGTCTGGCTAAGCTTATAAGCTGTTAAAATGAGCTTATAAGTTCTTTCAAAGTCTTTGGTAAAAATTATAAAAAATATCTTAAAAATTCCAAAAACGAGTTGCTGGAAAGCAGATAAGATTTTTTATTTAAGATCTTATAGTGAGTAAAAAAAACTTATAAATTAATTATCAATAACACTTTAAAAGTTACTTCTAAGGATAAGACGTAAAAATTTATCAGCTCTTAAAATAACTTACTAGATTTAAGAGCTTATCGTATGTTTAAAATAAGCTTGGCCAAACGGGCCCTAATAGTCAAAAATGATCACTCTCACAAAAACCCCACCTGAGATTGAGATGTATATAACAAATATTCATGTCAAGAATGGCTAATTCTTGATTAGAAGAGACAAAGTGAACAAACACACAAGCAAGCAAAATAGTACAAACATACCGGAGTCTTTTAACAACAATCGAAAAAACCAAAAAGCGAAATTAAATTGGCTAATTCTTGATTAGAAAACATTAAATCGACTAACATAATGATAATAGATTGCTAAGCAAATCGGAATCGGGAAAAAAACCTGATACTAAAACCAGAGATTCTCCGCCTCCCGATAAGCTGCCACCGAGTTAGAACTCACTCAAGCCGGGCGCTATAGTTCTTGATATACTGCAAAATGTGAGTTCAATTTAGCGGTTAAAAGTTTTATTTTATTCGAGTTAATGAAATTAAAAAATGGTGGGATTATCGGGAAATCACCTGTTAATGGGGAATCGGCTTTTTATAGAGCGAGCGGAGATCAGTGGCGAGAATCGGAGGAAGCAGAGGAAGGCTTGTCGGAGTAGCCATCGTGCTCCTCTTCGTCACCTTGAATTCGTGCCGGGATGTGGAACCCGCCACCGGGGAATCCGCCGGGGAATCCACCGGAGAATCCGATCCCGGAGAGGGAAGACGGATAGATTGGGATAAAACCGGAATTGTGATCCGACATTGTAGACGGGTCGATCCAAGCACGAATCGAAGGTGTGTTACTGGACTGAAGGGGTCCCCTTTGTTGTTGTTGTTGGAAGAACTGGTTGTGCCCTAATAGCTGCTGCAGCAGCGGCTGCTGCGGCACTGGCGGCGGCGAATTGAACATGTTGCCGCCGCCGACGCCGCCACCTGCGGTGGCGGCGTCGGCCGCGGGGTTCCAGGGTGGGAGCCTCTGGAACTGGTGGTGGTCGGGCCAGGGTGGGGTTCCGTCGAAGGCGAGCGGAATGCCGCTGAGGAGGACTTGGCCGCCGCGTGGCGGCGATTGTTCGTTGTTGTGGTGGTGGTGGGTGAGGGTTTGGTGGTGGCGGTGGTGGTGGTGGTGGAGCATGATTGGATCTTGGAAGGATTGGAGGGAGAGGCGTAAATCTTGGTTGTTGTCGGGCTGATGAAACTGCATACCGGAGGAGTTCGATTCGCCGGAGGCACCCATCGGGAAGAACGACTTGATGGTGTCGGCGATGACGTCAGAGTCCATTGACGGCGGAAGGAAGCTTGAGATTTGTGGTGGGTTGGAATTGTTGTGGTGGTGGAGGGCTTGTTGGCGGCGGCGGTCTTGTTCTTGTTCTTCTTCTTCTTCCTCCTGCAGCATTACCATTGCCCTTTTGCCGGAATCGGATTGGCGGTGGTTTTCTTCTTCTTCTTCCTCCTCTTCGTGTTCGTTCTTGTGCTGGGCGGCGGCGTCATCTGGCCGGAAAGATGGGTTCAGCGGCGGCGGCGGGGGACAGGTGGCGGTGGGATGCCAGGCGGGGAGCTGGGCGAGTTCATCAATGGCGGATTTGGCTTTCTTGATGAGCCAATCGACGGCTTTGCTGGGGCGGTCGTAGCCGAGGCGGTCCTGGACGTCGTAGAATTGGATGGCGGTGTGGGCAGCGAGGCGCACGCGCCGGTCACGTGGTCCTTTGGCGGTGCAGACTTTGCTGTGGCGGTCTTTTCTGCCGATGGACCTCACAATGTGGCCGCCCTGCACCTCCACAATCTCGCCCACGGCGGCGCCGGCGGCGCTTCTCAGACCTAATCTCGACGGCGTTGGCTGGTGGTGGTGGCTGCTGCTGCCGTCGCCGCCGCCCATCTTTTCTCGCAATTTTGCATGCTCGTCGGAGGTGGGCTCCAGCGACGAGGACGGGTGAGGGAGGTAGGAGCGTTTCTTCGGCGGCTCCGGCGGCGGCGGCTGGTGGTGGTGGTGGTGGTGGGGCTCTAATCTTCTACCGTAAAGAAGCTCATTCTGATGGAAAAGTTCTTGGAAAGACAAATGGGACGCCGGCGGCGGCTCCTGGTGGTGGTGGCGGCGGTGGTTATCTTGCTCCTCCTCTTCTCCGCCGCCGCCCTCCTCCGCTACATGATTTGAGGTTGATGTAATCTGATTTCGATTTTGATTTGGATTTTGATTTTGATACAGATGAAGATTCCTCTGAGGATCCAGACTTGTTCCAGCTTTTGATTTTCACAAACACAAAAAAAAAAAAGATAAAACAAAAAAAGTACTTTTTTTTTTCACTTATCTGTGGGTAATTTCTTCAGTACATCTCTCTTTGCTGCCAAAAAAATCTGATAATCTGCTTCTGCTTCTGCTTCTGCTTTTTGCTTCTCCCATTCAACTTTTCTGTATTCCATTAACCTTATTAAACCAAATTAAATAATTAAAAAAAATAATAATAATTCCCATCTTCAGCCTAACCCATCTTCCACACTACAATCTATTCCAACAAAAATAAAAAGAGAGACAGAGAGAATTTGTTTATTTATTTTATTTTGTTGGGATATTAATTTGGAAAAAAAAATCAAGAAAATGTTTATTTCTCTCTCTCTCTCTCTCTCTCACTAATAATCTCTCTCTAGAAAGAGAAAGAGAAAGAGAAAGAGAGAGTACTAAAAGAGGGGGTGGATGGCAGTGAAGAGGGGTGGCAGTGTTTGGGTCAGAAAAGAGATTAAAAGATCTGTGTGATATCAACACTGCCTGCCCCCCTCACCCCCACCCCCACCCCCACCCCTGCTCCTGTTTTTTGTACACCCCCTCTACTATTCCAACATTTTTTTATTCTTTTTTTTTTTTTTAATTTTTTTTTTAATTCAATTCATTAATCACTAACTTGGCTACTTATTTCCCTCCATTCCCATTTGTGTGATTTTATCGTAAATTTGGACGGATCAGATTGAAATTTTACTTCTTTTTTTTTTCGAATTGGAATCAATTTGTTTGATTTTATCGTAAATTTGGACGGATCAGATTGAAATTTTACATATTTTTTTCCGAATTGAAATCACTGGAAATACAACATAATTAGGGGTATAGATGAGCTGAAAGTCGACTCGTGAACTTGGTGAGCCGATTCAACAAAAGCTCGAAATTGAACTCGAATTTTTCGAGCTGGAGCATTCTGACGAGTTGAGCCTGAGCTCATTCTTCTGGCGAGCCCTTCTTTTCTTTTTAACTAAAATTCAAACAGCCAAGTTCGGCTCGTTTGCTACACCACTAAACATAATATGTGTTCCAATTTCGTTAACAAAGTTCAGACTACAAAATATTGTTCCGAAATTGGCAGAATCCGAAAATTATGTTCCAATTAAATTCCGAATTGTGTCCAATTAGGTGCCATTCAATTTTTATTTTTATTTTCATTTAGGTAAATTGAATAATAATAGCTTAGAACCCTAATTTGTAGCCAGAGGTGTAGTGTGTGTGTGTGTGTGGACTGTGGAAGGATAGATCCTCTAAAATGGCACCACCACCATTCTTGAAAGTGACCCTTACAGCTTTTCTGGTTTCTCTCTCTCTCTCTCTCTCTCTCTCTCTCTCTCTCTCTCTCTCTCTCTCTCTCTCTCTCTCTCTCTCTCTCCCTCTCTCCCTCTATCTCTCTCTCTCTCTCTCTCTCTCCCTCTCTCTCTCTCTGAATCTCTCTCACACAATCTCTCTCTTACTTCACTTAAAAGGAACAACATAATCCTTTACCTCAATTTTCTCTCTCCTAAGCAACCTTTTTTTCTGGTGAATTGGATTCCTGTAAATAGCATCCCTCTTTATTTTGTCTCATTTAAATCTACTTCTTTTCACCCCCCTTTACATTTTTATTTCTTTTTTTTTTATTATTATTTTACCCATTTCTTATTAATTTACTTTTATCTTTGTTTTCTCTAATTTTTATTTTCATCCCAAAATGAGTTTTTTAGTCCTGTAAATTTACTAATCGAGAGTTTTAGTCCACCGCATTTTAAAATCAGAAATCAAGTCCCGTGTATTACAAAAATTGGGAATTTTAGTATTATGACCTGCTATAACAGATAATTCAATAATTAGTTGAATGAATTAACATTAAAATTTATAAAAGCAATATATTAAAAAAATAAACTAGATGATATGGCCAATGAATTTGAAAGTTTGAGACAGCAAAAAGAATATTAAGCATTTAACCTCCTATTACAAATCCTAATAATGTAACTACATCTTAATTGTGAAAATTAATTATGATAATGTGATGTACAATACATAATTAAAAAACGTAGACACTATTTTTTTTTTTCACCAAAAAAAAATATTGACTTTTTTTTTCTAATAATATTTGTTATCGTAGAATTCTAATTCATGCTTAATTATATATTTTTGTTTATCAATTTTACCTTTTACTATTAATCGTAAGATAAATGAATAAGTTTGAAATTAAAAAGAGGTTATCATATTAATTAGTGCTGAGAATATTTGTATAGAGTGTAATTTTTAATATATTTATCAAATTAAAAACTATTTAATGATTTTTTTCTTATGTGCTCAAATTTAAAACTATAAATAAAAAGATAGAGAATATATATATATATATATGTATACACACACACACACTTGGACTCAACCTCGTGTCAAAGCATCATAGAAGTGGTCAAAAGTTTGGAGAGTGTGAGAAATACAAATTGTTACCAAGAAAAAATAAATTAAAATAAGACACCTAAATATTGTTTTTCCGTACAATTTCAGTCATCGAATCTCAAATTTTTGAGGAGTTTAATGTTTTGAGCTTTGCACTCGGACTAAAGTTGGATCCATAACATTCTCTAATAAAAAAATATTTATTATCCTTTTGTCCATAAAAAAGGAGACAATGTTTATGTGATGCCACACCCGGTGAAATATACGGGAGATTATCAATTGTTGATATGCACGTAACTGCACACATACTGAAGTGTATATATGTGCTTAGCGGTGGTTATTCGATAAAAATCACATGATATATATATAACCCGATATAGCATCTCAACCGAAGAGACAATCTAATCTAGCCCTACGAAATCAGGTTAATTTATAGAATAACAAATTACGAAATCAAATGATCTGAATTCAAATTATATTGTCAATATTTATTCGATCGAGTTTGTTACTCCATCTGTTTGCTCAATATATGTCTTTCTTGATAATTTCTTTTGTTTCATATTATTTGTCATTTTACAATTTCAATGTTATATTAATTACATAATTTTCTCAATTACACCTTTATTAATTCTACAACACAATTTATGCATTAATTAGTAAACAAGGTTATTTTGGTCTATCAATATCTATTTTCCTAAATCAAGACGTATTTATTGAGATTTTTAAAACTTGCGCCAATGTGAAAAACGACATATATTCAGGAACGGAGGGAGAACTGATAATTTATGTTTAATGTCGTTATTTTTTCGTGTGGTTTGTAAACTACTGCTCGAGAATGAAAATTAAAATTTATGAAGAAAAAATAAAATAAAGGGTAAATTACAACCACCCCAGAGGTATGGTTAAATTACGAAAAATCCCCTCATGTTTGGATAATTACAATCAGCCCCTTCAACTATAAATCTTCTTACATGTCCATCCTTGCGGTTTCAAATTTAGTGGAATCTTCGAGATTATATGGAATATTATCACTTTTGTACATGCTTTATCCCCTTCAAACTCCACATTTTGAAGTAAGATGATCATAATATGTGTTTATTAGCTTGTATATATATTAGATTGTGGTGCATCAGAAACTGCATTTTTACCCAAAACGAGTACAAACTAAGCACATTCCACGAAATCTAGATGATTATGTTGAATTTGACACCATAAGGTGGAGGTGTAAGAAAAAATCATGGTTGATGGGGTAGATGTAATTATCCAAACAAGAAGGGGTTTTTCGTAAATTAACCATACCTCAGGGGTGGTTATAATTTACCCTAAAATAAAAGAATAGTGTGCATTTATAGGCAAGACAATCCCACGATATTGGTAACAGTCTTGCACACTAGTCGTAATCTTTAAACTTAGGAATGTCTATTTCTTTGATCAAATTATGTTCACTTTCTAATCTTGGAAATTTGTCATATTACTTATAGCAAGTAATAAATTATAATCAAGAATGTTGAGTTTCTCCTCATTTATTTTGTCAATCTATCAAAATTTATTGACAAAATAGTAAGAGATATCAATTATATAATCGGAATATTGAGTTTCTCCTCGTTTATTTTGTCTTCGACAATTAAATTTTATTGACAAAATAGTATGAGGTAGTAATTACGGATTTATAATTTTATTACAATGTGGGCTAAGTCCATCGAGAGACACAAACCAAGTCCAAGTCTACTATTACTAAATACATTAATAACTTAAATAATTTTTTTGGTGTATTTTGTATTTGATGGGCCCAGGCCCAAATGCTAATATCGACAAATCCATTGAAAGACACATATTAAACTCAAGTCTACTCAGATTAGTAATACAATCGAAAGTTGACTACGACCTAATTTGACCATAATCTAAACAGTAAGACCCATATATACATAGATATATATATATATATATATATATATATATATATATATATATATATATATATTCTATCAAATATGTCAAAACAATAAATAATTAAAATTATTGGTTGAGCAATACGGCGTTTGTAATTCGAGTTCAAATCTCGTGCCAACAATTTGCATCTCTTATTTGTATGCCGAATTTGTCATACATGGTTCAGAGTTAATGTAATCGACGGTTCTATTATAGTTTAAAAGCTATTACACGAGATTAAAAATTTATAAATACGTGGATATATGGATCAATGCATTATTGCAAGTCGTTAACCCGCGAAAAATGAATCAATTATGATGGTATAAGTATGTACTTTGAACAATTAAAATAACATTACTTTACATTAATTATGTTAAACTTTTAGCTTTTAATTATAATTACTATGTGCTTATGCCTTCATATTTTTTAATACTTCCACAATTTGGCGGCTGCTGTAACTATCAAACTTTACATTCATTACTAATTAAATTTTAATAATATAATAATGATGATAAAATTATAAGTAATATACAAAATTTTAATTTCTCAAATTTTGTACTTAAGTTTTGCCTATCGCAGCTCCAATGGAATTCTTAAACTCAACGAGTCTCGATATTTTCTAAAGTCGATACTTTTATCTAAAGTTTCTAAACGTTTTCTTATATTCGTAATTATATACGGAGACTCCAACCTAAAGTTGTCACACTGTAAATTAATAAAAATAAAATGAGCACTTTACAAATAAGTCCATTAATGGATACTTATTCATAAAGAGGTCCAGACAATAATCTTTTTGCAAAAAAGTTCACACATGGTTCAGAGTTTGTAAAAGACTAAAATAAAACATCATACTAAAAAGTCCACACATGGTTACACTATATTACAATAATAGACAGTAATATTATTACGTTACTCCGTAAATAACTCAAACAAAACAAAAACACCCAAAAAAAATAATAATATTGATGTGGTTGATATTAATATTATTGTGTTTACAATTATTTTACTATCAACGACAGTAATATAATTGCGTTGACATGTCAACAAATCAAAAAAAATAAAAAAATAAAAAATAATAATATTGTCAT